CAGTTTGTAATAGCTAAAACTTGGAAGCAGCCCAAGTGCCCATCAACTGGAGACTGGATAAAGAAAATGTGGTTTTTTAATAAAATGGAATAGTACTCAGCCATGAAAAATGAGAAATTAGAGACATTTATAGCTAAATGGATGCATATTGAGGCGATACTCTTAAGTGAAATAAATAGGACACACGTATGAAAATACTGAATAGTTTCTCTAGTGTGAGAAACTGAAAGTGTAAATCAGGACTAAAAGGTATAATAGATAACGTGAAATAGAAAGCAAAGGGGCAAAGGGAAAGGGGAGGTGGGAGGGTTAGGGGAAAGGAAAGAAGGGAATGGAATATGAGAAAATGAAAAGATGGAAACAAAGTCTTTGTAAATAGGGAGGGATGGAGGGGTTGAAGGGAGGGCAGGGGAATGGGAAAAAATAAGAACCAAGAGAGATGATGTAAAGTGCAAATTTCCAATGATGAGTGTCATTATATTGTATACCTAAAATGCACCAATAAAATTAATTTTTTTAAAAAGGTGTGGTTCAACTCTGATATTTCCTTATTGATTTTTCATCTAGTTGACTTGACTTTTTGTGATCATGGGGAATTGAGGGTTCGCATTATAATTGTGTTGATGTTTATCTGATCTTTTATGTCCAATAGTGGTTTTTTATGAAGCTGGGTATACCAACATTCAGTGCATTATATTTGTTGTCTCTTCATGTTGAATCATTCCCTTAACCAACATGTTAGGAATTTCTTTGCCTCTTCCAATCAGTTTTGCTTGGAGTCCAGTTTATCTGAACATAGGATAGCTAGTCCTGCTTGTTTTTTGGGTTCCTGTTGCATGGAATATTGTTTTACATTCTTGGATTTTTAGTCTATGAATTTCTTTTTGGGTTAAATGTGTTTCCTCTGTACAGTGTACTATTGGATTTTGTTTCTTGATCCTGTCCCTCAATGTGTCTTTTGATTGGAGAATTGAGACCATTCATATTGAGAGGTTTACTGAAAAGTAGCAACTGATTCTTGTCATTGAATTCTTTTTCTGTTGCTTATTCACTTTCACTTACTTCTACTTAACTGCTCACCCTACCTGGTGTACTGATTCTATCAGATCTTTTGGTAGTTCACTATCTCCTTCTATGGTATCCTTTGAAAATTTTTTGGAGTGCTAGTTTGGTGCCTATGAATTTCTTTAGGTGCTCTTTATCGTGGAAATACTTTATTTTGCCACCAATTTTGAAGGATTTTTTTGCGGGATATATCAAGCTGGTTACAAGTTGGCTTTTGGGGGAGGGGGGCTTGAAATAATTCAACTCTCCTAGTTTTAAAGGTTTGTGTCCAGAGGTAAGTTATACTTCCAATGGGTTTTCCTTTATAAGTGATTTGTTGGCTTTTCTCTTAACAGTTTTTAAGATTCTCTTCTTGTGTTGGACTTCTGAGATTTTGACTATCATGGGTCATGAAAAGGTTCTTTTCTGATTGTGGCTATTTGGAGTTCCATATTCCTCACTTATCTGTATGTTAATATTTTTTGACATTTGAAGTCTTCTGCTATTATTTCTATGCACGGTTTTTTGTGCCATTTGTACTCTTTTGATTTTTCACCAATTTCAATTAATCTTAGATTAGTCTTCTTTGCATCATTCAGCAGCTGTTGGATCAATTTTTCATGTTCTCTTGTTTTTAAGGTATTTCTCAATAGTTGGTTACTATTAACAGCACTGTATTCTAGTTCTGATACTCTGTCCTCACACTGGTGGTTTCTGCTGCCCATAGTTTCAGTAGAAGTTTTAATCTTCTGAATTTTTATTTGGTACTTTTTCATGAACTCTAATTCTTTTCTATACTGCAAATTCATGTTTTGTATCATTTTGTTTAGCTTGGCTAGCTTTTTATTAGTGTTTTCTGCGAACTCACTGATCATTTGGTTTAATAGGTCTATTGTTTAGTTATATCTTCTTCGAACTCACCAACCACCTTGTTAATCTGGGGTTTTTTAAATCTCCTCTATTATCCTTTTGAATAATTCAGTTGTGTAGCTTTTGATATCCTCCCGCTCAATGCCAATGCCCTGTGGATCAGCTTTGAGGGTGTTGGGAGTTTTGGGAGGCATTTTGTTACCTTGACTTCTCATGTTTCTATTTGTTTGTTTTTTGTGCTGAGATTGTGTGCTGATCACAATAGAAGACTTTGTTATTAATATGAAGACCTCCTTAGTTAGTGTTTGCTTTTCAGTGAAGTACTCTTGGCAAGACTAACTGTAGGCCTTTGCCTCTGTCCTAGAATCTCACCATCTCCATTTACTTGGGAGGGAGGCTGCCTTTTTGCCTCTTCAGATCAGCTTTGGTTAGAAGTCTACTTTGTCTGAAAACAAGATAACTACTTTGCCTGTTTTCAAGGTCCTGTTGCTTGGAATATTCTTTTCCATCATTTGATTTTTAATCCATTAATTTCTTTTTTGGATAAAATGTGGTTTTAAAAAATTCACTATAATGTTGTTTTATTTTTTGATCCAGTCTGCTGGATATTTTTGATCCAGTCCAATCTGTGTCTTTTGACTGGGGAGTGGAGACCATTCAATTAAGAGTTACTATTAAAAGGTGTTGACTTGTTCCTGCCATTACATTATCTTCCTATTGCTGATTCATTTTCCCCCCTTCTGCTTAACTGCTTACCCTATAAATATTATTTTAGCAGTTAAACTTTTGACATGTAGCTTGAAGTTTATAATTCCCAAGTAGTATCTGGAAGTGTGTGGCACTTAGTAGTCATTCAATAAATATGTTTTGAATGATGAGAGTTATTTTATCCTGCTGATTAAGAATGTAGTGCATGCTTTAATTAGAGGTAGCACAATACACAATGAATAGACAAGAAAATGGTCACAAGCAAAGCATACATTATCTTAGCACATATTATTTTAGAAAATAGTATTCCAGCTCAGGCTGAGTGAGTGATTAAAGCTCAAATGTCTATGCTGTGAAGCACAGGTTTTTTAAACATGAGTATTAACAAATGCCCAAGCAACCATTATGAAGTCTCAATAAAGTAGCCCTAGAATGTCTAATGCCAAGAAAACCAATTGACTATGCATGACTGGGTAAATTTCTAGACTCTGTTCTGTTTCATTAATTTAACTATCTTATAAACAATACCATGTTGTCTTAATATAGATTTGTATTAAAGCTTTCAAGTTTTGGTCAGTCTAAGACTTTAAATTTTCTTATAAATTTTAGAACCAATCTGTCTGTTGGGATTCTGACAATGGATTAGGATTCCATTGTATCTGTAGAGTAATTTATGGAAAATGTACATCTTAGTATTGATTCTTCCAATTCACAACTTAGATCTCTGTTTCTTTAGGTCTCCTTTAATTTCTCTCAGAAATGCTTTGTTTTAGAGGTCAGCTCATATTTATTTACCTGGTGATGTGCTGTTGAATCACTTCTTGAAGAGGAGATATCAGAAAGTTTTAATTTGCACTGCTCATCAATTACTACGATATCAATACTTACACCTCGGTCAATTTCAAGCTATCAATGATGTCACTAAAAGAGTTCAGAAAAAGTGACAGAATCTGCTGTTGGTGAGCCAGTTCCACTGCACAGTGGATATATTCTTAAATAGTTCATGAATTTTGGTGCTATTTTAAATTCCTGGCATTGTAAATACTATGCTGTTGAGTAACTGAACTTTATCATCTTCCTTCAAAGATGCTAAAGTTTGTTTTGTTGGGTATGTAAGTTACTTGCAAATCAGCTTGATCCTCTTGGGTGTTTGCAAAGCTTTGTTTTGTTTTTTATTCTTGGGATTGAGTCCAGGGTCTCATGCATACCAAACATATGTTCTACCACTAAACTTTGTTTTAAGCCATTACTTTGGGGTTAATTTAGCTCTTCCACAAAGGCATGACCCTCCTGAGGTCTTTACTTAGAACCCCAAGTGTTCAACAAGGGCTCTCCACTCTGCATAGTAAGAACTCACATCTTCCAACTCTGTGTCAGCTTTGGATTCACATAAGTTGCACTTTGCCAGGCTTGGAGAGTTTCTCCCAACACAGGCCAGATTAGTATTCATGCAAAATCCCAAAGGGACTCATGCAGATTTCAAGAGCTCTTTCTTTTTATAAAGCTTCTTCCACGCAAATGAAAACAACGCTGAGATTCCACTTCACTCCAGAAAGAATGGCTGCTATCGTGAAATCAACCAGTAACAAATGCTGGCAGGGCTGTGGGGAAAGAGGAACCCTGCTCCACTGCTGGTGGGAGTGTAGACTG